CAGGAGCAGTACCCCCCCGCCCCGGGCGGCTCCGCACCGCGCAGCGACAGTGCCCGGGCCTCGCTGCACCTCCAGGGCCCCGCTGTGCCCGTGCCCCACGTCCCCGCGGCCACTGCCCGCTCCCCTCCCGCCGCAGCCCTCCCGTAGCCCGGATTTCACTCCCATGGCAAAGCCGGCCCTGCAGGAATTGGGTAAGTGGAGCTATTGCAACACAGCATTTTTCCATACATTTGCTATATAACTCGGAGGGTTTTAAAGATAGCATCAGTTGGCACACTTAGCACGAAACCACCTAATTACTGACGCCTTGGAAGTGCCAAACTTTTAAAGGGGGGAGGTGAGGTTAAAATCACAGGCGACCAACAAGTGTTACCTGTTTTTAAAGTATTCCAAGCGCTGTTCTCCACGGGAGTCGGGACGTGGGGAGGGGGCGGCTCGGGGCAGAGCCACCCCCTCTGTCACCACTGCCACCACACCGAGGGGCTGGAGGCTTCTGCAGCCCCCCCACTCTGACCCTCTTCTTCCCACCAAACTCCACTGCCTGGCGCTGTGGCTTTCCCTGCACAGCTCCCATCCCGTTCCTGCGCCAGCCCGGGCTGCGGGATGGGCTTTGTGGCCGTACCTGGTCTCCACCGGAGGGAAAAAACCTCCCGGTGAGAGCCTGGCTCTGAGCAGCCCCGGGGGCGGCCGCAGGGTCAGGCATAGCGGGGGCGGACTGTCCCCGCGCCCCCGCCGCTTCCCGGGGGAATGATCCGGGCTGGAAGGGCTGGAGCCGCCGCCGCCTGCCCTGCGCAGGGGCACGGCACCGCTGGGCGCGGGGGATGCAGAGCACAGGGGAGACCCCCGGTCCGTGCGCTGTGCCCGCTGTCCGGTGCAAGACGCCCGGCGCTCTGTGCAGGGTGCCCTGTGCCCAGGGCCCGGTGCAGAGTGCCCGGTGCAGGATGCCTGATGCACGCCCGGGACCCTGGACTCGGTGACAAGTGCGGGACGCCCGGTGCCCGGTGCCCCGCGCAGCGTTCCTGGTGCCCACTGCCCGGTGCAGGGAGCCCGGTACCCCGCGCAGGATGCCCGGTTCCTGCTGCAGGAAGCCCGGCACCCTTTATCCGGTGCGGGATGCCCAGGTGCCGGTCCCCATGCCCGCTGCAGGATGCCCGGCACCGGGTACCCCTTCCCCGATGCAGCATGCCCGGTGCCCGGTCCCCTTTGCCCGGCGGCCGGTGCCCTGTCCCCCTTTCCCGACGCAGGGGGCCCCGTTGCCGGTGCCAGCCCGGTATCCGGTGCCCGGTTCCCCTCGCCCGGTGCAGGGTCCCGGTTCCCCCGGCCCGGTGCCCTGTCCCCCGTCCCCGCGCGCGCCGGCCCCGCTTCCTGCTCTCCCCAACGTTCCATTGTGCGGAGCTTCCATTGTGACGTCTCGGCCTCGGCTCGGCTTTGTCTGTCCATATATGGGCAGCTACGTCACGGAGCGCTCCCGCATAAAGGCCCCGCGGAGTCCCCAGCGAAGCAGTCGGGCGGCAGAGAAGGAACCGGCGAGCGGAGCGGGGCCGAGCGCGGGGGAAGCGGGGCCGGGGCCGGGAGCCGGCGAGAGAGAGAGAGAGAGAGGAGGGGTTAAATCCTCCCCCCCCCACCACCCCCCCCAGCTTCTACAACCACATCTGCCAGCCAGATCGCCCCCTCCCCCTCGAGGAAACACCACCAAGGGACCCACGGAGGACCGCCCT